TAAACATTTGTTTACATCACGCCATGTTAACATTTGTTTACACCACGCAATCTAAAGTTTTGTTTACACCACGCCATCCAAACCTTGCTTAGAAGCATCCTTCGAATACATTTGTTTACAACACGCCATCTAAATCTGTTTACCCTACGCCATAAACTAGAAGCATCACAACACAGAAATTGAGAATTCATGTCACTATTGACAACATAATTGCAGAAATTTACCTCAGAATTGCTCGCTCAGTGCTAATCATGCCCTCCCTCCCCCATCCCCCCACCCATCACAACCATGCAAACAATCACGCATGTCGACCTGCTCAATGAACACAACCAGGTTTGTACTCGAGTGAGCTGCTATAGCACGTCGAGACTGGGCTGACTACCACAACAATGGCATCAACTTCAAGTTACTTGCTACTGGACCACTGGATTAGTTCTTTGGATAAGGTACGGTGGACTTTTGTACATTAAATTTCGGTGTAATTTTGCATCAGTATCTAATTTTGATTTGCTTTTGGTTGGTATTTATAAATGAAGACTATAAATATAATAGAACTTTAGTTAGGATTTGGTCTCAGATTATTGCTGACATTAGCAAGTGATATTTTCAATACTAATAGTAATAGCGACCTCTACTAAGTAAAAAAAAATACATTCCCTTATATTTACATTGTCGACGTTACATCTAAAATTGCCCCCTTAATTACTTTCTCGTATTGTAATCGTGTAAAAAATTTAAGTCGAGATTTTCACAAATCTTGACGTTTTATACCTCCTTGAATCTGAAAAACTTAGTTTTGCAATTTTGTCTGTATGTCTCAATATGTGTCTGTGTTTACATCTGTGAACACGATAACTAGGCGAAATTCCATATATAAGTATTAGATCTTTATCAAATTTGCAGTTCTGTATCAACTTTTCATAAAATGCCGGTAACCGGCAATGGAACTTATTCTATTTTTTTAAAAGTCTATATCTTGAGTACTATTTCAGTTATATCAACGAAATTTTACATATATGTAGAATATCTAATTTTCTGTTATTTGACACATTTAGAGTAATTTTCGGTGCCCGGGAGTAGTAATTTACCCTTTTTTCGATTTCTTAATTAACACGTATAACACTTTTACCGGACTGTTATTTTAAACTTTTCATGTAAGTCAATACTCGAAGACAATGTATTGTGACATAAAATGTTACTTAATTAGATGATTAAATAACTCTTTGAAAATTAATCAAGATATTCTTTAAAAAGTACTAATGTTCCGACACACATTGTTTGTTGTTCATTTGGTGCGCAATTATTTTTTGTTTTTGAGATTCTATTCTATTTAAACAACATTTAAGTGTTTGATAATTGATTTTTTAAAATTGTCTACATCACGACAGCACTCGAGTTGCCAAACCTTTTAGTATTACCTTAAAATATTCGAGAAAGTTTAGGGGAGATCACTCCCCGCTTTATTTTTTAAAATTATATTAAATTTATCTAAATCTCACGCACGTCATCTGTGAAGCTACGTGGTTGGCTAATCCAATACAATTGTAACTAAGTCGTGATGACATCCATGTTTTTGCGGGTAACATGTGTTGTTACATTAATTCTAGTATCGATACTGACAATAAGGGAATCGAATTTTAAAAAGTTTTTGGTTACTGGTAGTAAACAATATTAAACTAATAATATGTGTTAACTTTAACGCTAATCGTAACACTTAACATTAACCAAAATTCTTGTACAGACCTGACTTGTAATACCAACCTAACTCCCAGAGTCGTAGCCATCCATTCTGGCGCCCTGGGACGAATTAGCAAAATTATGCCACCCCCCCCCCCCCCCATTTATATTATAGTTATCAAGGTTGGTTAAATTAATGCCCCCCCCCCCCCGGTTGAAAATGTTTGTCGCGCTTTCTACCAGTCACTATCTCAAAACATATTTTGTTTTGGTGTCACACAATTGTTGTAGAAAACAGTTAAAATGAAAAGCCTTTTGTTTACTTTCTAAACTTTGACTGCGTGTAATTCAATACTTCAGCTAAAAATGAGCTATTACTATTAATTTTTTCTACCCCATTTGGCGCTCCCTTAGGGTCGGCGCCCGGTGCTGCCCGCCCACCCGCTTTGCCCTAGCTATGCCAGTGCTCACTCCCCTATACTGGGAGAGCCCAGGGTAGGACACTAGAAGGTGTACTAATCTCTAATTCGTTAAATTCTTTATTTTAGCGAGATTTAACTGTTTTGCACCTTTATTATTATGCAACCGAATTAGCAACAAAATTCAAAGTGCATTTTAATTCAATTAAAAATGCTACAACAACAGCATGAAACATTTTTTAGAAGGAAGTTAAATTATGGCATCGTACATAAGTGGTGAGAGGGGCCCAATCATTTTTGTTGACATCGATTAAAAACATATTTCATCAGTTTCGTATTTTAAAAAAGGAATGTTAATATTTTATGAATCAGTATTTAAAAAATTGGTAAATACATTGAACTTGAAAATATTTTTTTGCCTTATTTAAGTGTAATCTATTTCTATTTATTTATATTAATCCAACATTTTAAGACGAAATGTCATTTAAGTAAGATATAGAGAAGACATTTAATTGGCTGACCAAGATGATTAACATAAGATGACTGAAAGAAACTCTGGAGACGGTGGTAAATACATTTCTATTACTGACAACAAACTTTCTAAAACATCAGTGTGATAATTTTTGTGAGTAATTAGATTATAATCAGATTGTAGCCTACATTTTTATGTGGTATGTTTATTATCATATTTTTGTGTGAACTATGTTTATCTCATTTATGTGTGAACTGTTTTTATCTCACTTTTATGTGAACTGTGTTTATCTCATTTTTGTGTGAACTGTGTTTATCTCACTTTTATGTGAACTGTGTTTATCTCATTTTGTGTGAACTGTGTTGATCTCATCTTGTGTGAACTGTGTTGATCTCATCTTGTGTGAACTTTGTTGATCTCATTTTGTGTGAACTTTGTTGATCTCATCTTGTGTGAACTGTGTTGATCTCATCTTGTGTGAACTTTGTTGATCTCATCTTGTGTGAACTGTGTTGATCTCATCTTGTGTGAACTTTGTTGATCTCATCTTGTGTGAACTTTGTTGATCTCATCTTGTGTGAACTGTGTTTATCTCATCTTGTGTGAACTTTGTTGATCTCATCTTGTGTGAACTTTGTTGATCTCATCTTGTGTGAACTTTGTTGATCTCATCTTGTGTGAACTGTGTTTATCTCATCTTGTGTGAACTTTGTTGATCTCATTTTGTGTGAACTGTGTTGATCTCATCTTGTGTGAACTTTGTTGATCTCATTTTGTCCGAACTGTGTTTATCTCGTTTTGTCTGAACTGTGTTTATCTCATCTGTTTTGACACCCTACATTTAACACTTGATCGAGGTCCAAATATTATGAAGTGGATTTGTCTGTTAACTTAAATCTGTCTTTAATTCCATCTGTTACTGGTATAGAACCTACGGACATGCTCGTGTTTCACACAGTCGTTAAACTAAAACATACATATGTATCAGTATGTAACACCGTAAAACAGCGTATGTCAATAATGTTTACAATTAGCTGTGCGAGGGAGCCAGTTATGTAGACGAGATGAAAATGTCAAGCTAGGAAAATTCTAGCAGAAATATTTCAACGCTAATTTAGTTACGTAAAAATGTTCACCTCAAAGGCGCATGAATTGCGGTGTAATTTACCTACAATTGATTTACATTCATATATTTATCATATTATACATACACACACACACACACACATATATATAATTATATATATATATATATATATATATATATATATATATATATATATATATATATATATAATTATATATATAATTATATATATATATATATATATATATATATATATATATATATATATATATATATATATACATATACATATATATATATATATATATATATGTATATATACATATATATATATATATATATATATATATATATATATATATATATATATATATATATATATATATATATATGTGGGTTTTAGTGGTAACTTTTTATTTGATATAAAAGTGGGGTTTAGTGGTAAGTTTCGATATGTTACAACTGTCAGCTATGGCTTGCTCTAAATTACAAAATTTGACATCATAAAAAAGGCTCCAGATAAACGCCATTTATGTATTTTTTAATCGCTATTTATTTACACTTTAAATTAGGCTGATGTAAATTAATTTCTAATTTGAGTAATACAGGCTATTTTTATCTCATATAACAGAATACGTTTTAGTTGTATGGTTTGCATGCTTTAAAGTTTGTAGAATGAACTTGTTGGGTTTAAATTGATACCCATGGTAGTAAATGTCTCCTTATTTGTCAGTTTAGAACTTTAAGGGTCGTTTTGTGGCGATTTTAGGAAAATAGTGGTTTTACTGTGTATACATAGGCTGTTCATTGAAGCTACTTTCTGGAATGTTCTGTTCCTACATTGAAATTTACTGCAGCCTGGGTCTTCATGTTTATTTTATCAATGTTCCGTAAATAGAATTTAATCCTTTTGAGTTGCATTCAGCGGCACGGTGTAAGAAATTTGGCCATGATTAATTCAGGCCGCGTCTTTTCTATCGAATCGATACACGCTTTTCAAATAGTCGCTTTGTGATTGGTCAGACCGAAAGCGTCTAACTGTCACTCAAGTATGCGGACCGGCTCAGACTAGGAAGAAAATGTCAAAGAAAATTGTTTGAAACTTGTGTGAGTGTGTTTGATTTACACGTGAAGAATTAACTCTGAGGTTTGAATCATATGGTGAGAAGAAATTAAAAATCCACGGGAAAGGTGACTTAACCTGTGTAGTTCTAGAGTCGCAGCAAAACTTGTGGCAGACGAGAGTTCCACCCCACACGCGCCAATTCGCGAGGCAGCAGACGATGCCAGACAAGATCTCACGTGACGAGGGCGACTCGCCGCGTGGCTGGAGACCCGACCCGTCCCGACTCCCGGCTTTGATGGTGGTCAATTGATTGATGAATTCGATCTGCAGCATCATTGTCTAAACCTTCTGGGAACCGGCGCTAGCGCTCGTCGCTAACTATTCCGCGATAAACGGTTTCACTACCGGAGATCTTTGCTGGCGGGAGTACGACAAGTTCCGGAGACTAGTTTTTTAAAAACCCTCTAAACTTGAACATGGATAATTATTTGTGTTAATAAAACTTGTATTAAAATCGTCTTGATTTTGGTAAGCATGTTAATTAGGTTATTTGTTTAAAAATTCACACTACTGTTCGGGCCATCAAAACTTGCACACCTAAATTTGAAGTTAAACAGTTAATGTTGTAATTGAAAACATGTTAAACAGTTAAGGTTTTAGTTGAAAGCAAGTTAAACATTTAAAGTTGTAGTTGAAAGGAAGTTAAAGTTGTAGTTGAAAGGAAGTTAAACAGTTAAAGTTGTAGTTGAAAGGAAATTAAACAGTTAAGGTTTTAGTTGAAAGGAAGTTAAACTGTTAAAGTTGTAGTTGAAAGCAATTCAAAGTTCGTATGAGGGGACCTCAGATCTAGTGACATTAATTGATTATTAAGCTAGTTAAAGTTTTTTTATAATAAAAAAGTAGTCAGAAATAAAAATACACATACACATAAATTATGTAGAATGGCAACGAATATTACGGCATGATTTGACCTATACAACAATCACCGACTTTACTTGATAAAATATAGTATGGGATTTAGGATATACCAGCCATATAAGACAATAGCTGACTTTTCTTGATAAAATATAGTATGGGATTTAGGATATACCAGCCCTATAAGACAATCACTGACTTTGCCGGATAAAATATAGTATGGGATTTAGGATATACCAGCCCTATAAGACAATCACTGACTTTGCCGGATAAAATATAGTATGGGATTTAGGATATACCAGCCCTATAAGACAATCACTGACTTTGCCGGATAAAATATAGTATGGGATTTAGGATATACCAGCACTATAAGACAATCACCGACTTTTCTTGATAAAATATAGTATGGGCTTTGGGATATACCAGCACTATAAGACAATCACCGACTTTTCTTTATAAATTATAGTATGGGCTTTAGGCTATACCAGCACTATAAGACAATCACCGACTTTTCTTTATAAATTATAGTATGGGCTTTAGGCTATACCAGCACTATAAGACAATCACTGACTTTTGAGATAATTTTTCTGGGTTAAAAACTCGTCTTATACAGGACAAGAGGATAGGTTGTAGTGGCGAACTAAATGGTGAACTATCGTATGTGTGCGGTATGGTAAATTGTATGGTGAACTTAACGATGAACCAGGGGCGTAGCGAGGGGGGGGGCGGGGGGTGCGGACCGCACCGGGTGACACCATTTAGGGGGGTGACACCAAGGCAAAAAATAGCAAAATATATAGAGAAAAACTCGAGGGGGGGGGGGTGCAAATCGAAAGTTTGAAAGTTTGTCCCTGGGAAGGGTCTCTATGCCTCTGGGGGGGGGGGGGGGTGACACCATTAAGTGCCGCACCGGGTGACACCCGACCTCGCTACGCCACTGCGATGAACTATTGTATTTGTATATACACGGCGGGCAATACAGTTATGAACAACAATCGATTTCACAGATTAACTTTATTTTTTGCTGCATATGTAGAGCTATCTGTCATACAATATGATATAGATCATGGTGTACAGTCATATAACATATAAGACGCCATCATACAAATTATTCTTGCCATACAGGTCATTCGAAATGTCATGCAGCTTATGATTTCTTACATCATACAAGTCATTGAACAGATCATACAACATGGCATACGAAACATCACATAGCTTGTCATGCAACATATCCAACACAAACGGGAAATTACAAGTTTTCAAGACCCGTGTTCGAACACGTGTTTAAGACCTACTTTTAAGACCCGTTTTTAAGACCCGCGTAAAGACCCATGTTTAAGATGAGCCTTAAGACCTTTATTTAAGACCCCACGTTAAGACCCGCGTTTAAGACCCACGCTAAGACCCTTGTTTAAGACCCGCGTTAAGACCCTTGTTTAAGACCCTTGTTTAAGACCCGCGTTAAGACCCGTGTCTAAGACCCGCGTTCAAGAGCCATGTTTAAGACCCGTGTTAAGACCCTTGTTTAAGACCCGCGTTAAGACCCGTGTCTAACACCCGTGTTCAAGACCCATGTTTAAGACCCGTATTTAAGACCCGCGTTCAAGACCCATGTTAAAGACCCGTGTTCAAGACCCATGTTCAAGAGCAATGCGCAGGAGCCGTGTTAAATCCAATTCTCGCATACCCCGTCACGCACGCGAGATTATCCAACCTCAGTTTTTATTGTTTGAAGCTAAAACTCCTTAAAAATGTCAAGCAAATAATTAAAATTTAATTAACCCTTAAGGAGGCACGTGTGATTAAATCTGTCCAAGCTAAACTCGCTCTGTTTTTCACGTTGTTGGCCAGGGTTCGAAACCAGGTTGGATGGATTCTTGAGTATGTTGAGAAAAAAATAAATGTCCCCATCAAATTTACTTATCGTCCACTTGTTTTCCATAAAAGGTACCGCAGGTCGCCGGTTGCATTGAAACTCACGGACGCGTGCATTTTGCTAACACTTACATATACGTGTAAGCTATTTTTAAAGTAGTTTTTTAAATAAAAAAGATTAAGATATACATTTCAAAATTGTAATCAATAATGTTATAACAATTAAGCTTATGTAGGATTTGGTTTCCATTTATATATATTTGTATATGATCGATTGGTAAATGTGTTTAGGATGGGCGGGGGTGGGGAAGGGGGGGGGGGGGGGGTTGGGGGAGACTGCGTTAAGTGCGGGATTATCAAGTGAACTATAAATCTATAAATAGACACACGTTGACATTTTGATGGTGTGAGTACACTAGATAAGCCGTCGTATGTTGCGTGAAGTTCCAGAAATAGAACATCAGAAAGTAGATAGTGGGGCTATATTAGGTGTATGAAGAGTGGTATTGGGGCTCTGTTAGGTTATGACAGGTGGTATTGGGGCTCTGTTAGGTGTATGACAGGTGGTATTGGGGCTCTGTTAGGTGTATTACAGGTAGTATTGGGGCTCTTAGGTGTATGACGGGTGGTATTGGGGCACTGTTAGGTGTATGACGGATGGTATTGGGGCTCTGTTAGGTGTATGACGGGTGGTATTGGGGCTCTGTTAGGTGTATTACAGGTAGTATTGGGGCTCTTAGGTGTATGACGGGTGGTACTGGGGCGTTATCAGGTGTATGACAGGTAGTACTGGGGCTCTATCAGGTTATGGCGGGTGGCTTTGTGGCTCTGTTAGGTGTATGACAGGTTATATTAGGGCTCTGTTAGGTGTATGACAGGTTATATTAGGGCTCTGTTAGGTGTATGACAGGTTATATTAGGGCTCTGTTAGGTGTATGACAGCTGGTGTTTCGAGTTTCGTTCATTTAATTACTGGGCGAAGATTAAATTAGTAAAATCATGCTTTTAGCTACCTTTAAAACTACTGCTTATGTAAGACAACAAAACCACTAGATGAGTCAAGGTAAATCTCCGTCAAAAAATAACTTTTACATTCATTAAATCTCCGTAAAATAGATGAATGCTTCTTGAAATATATAACAAAAATAGCAAAACATTTTTTAATTACAAAAACGTGTTTTTTTACTAATTAGAAATATGAGGCGTGTTAAAAGAGATGAAATTACGAAATCTAATTAAGCCGGCCATTGAATATTTAAACAATTTTTGTGAGAGAAAGTAAAATGCGTTTTGATAATTTAAATCTAAGGCTGGTAAAGTTTAGATAAATTACAGAAGATGTTGGTGAAGTTTAGATAAGATTAATTTGATGTTTGTGATTAAGGTTATCGTTTGGTTGCGTACACTAGTTTAGTGTTTGTTTAATTAATTGATTAATTACTAACCAGTCATCAGTGTATTAGTCACATGTTAATGAGTTATGTAACTTGAGTAAAATAATGAGATACGAACCAAAAAACAAGTTTAATTTAAACTAAACTAAATAAACAGTGAGTTAGACACAAGAAAAAAACAACAACATATTAATTGTGAGATATCAGTTGCTTGTATTATGTACATTAGAATAAACATTATATATAAAACAAGTAAAGTATACGTATACTTTGAAAATAGTTGCTTGTTATTATAGTAGAGATGGGGGATTGTCTATTAAAGTCGTAGGTTCAAATCCTACTTTCACTCCATCTCCATCTATTACAATTGAGTTTTTCAACAAAAATGGTGCTTTTTATTGTTTTAAATATAAGCTGTGCTTTTAAGTTTAGTTATGTGTAGAGGTGGGTGGTGTTTCTGATCTTTTCTGTATGGCATTGCAGGTTGTTGATTCATGTCACTATGTCAGTGTTTAATATCACTATGTGATGTAAGTATGTCAGTGTGTGATGTCACTATGTCAGTGTGTGACGTCAGTGTGTGATGTCACTATGTCAGTGTGTGATGTCACTATGTCAGTGTGTGATGTCACTATGTCAGTGTTTCATGTCAGTGTGTGATGTTACTTTGTCAGTGTGTAATGTCACTATGTCAGTGTGTGATGTCACTATGTCAGTGTGTGATGTCACTATGTCAGTGTGTGATGTCACTATGTCAGTGTGTGATGTCACTATGTCAGTGTTTCATGTCAGTGTGTGATGTCACTTTGTCAGTGTGTAATGTCACTATGTCAGTGTGTGATGTCACTATGTCAGTGTGTGATGTCACTTTGTCAGTGTTTCATGTCAGTGTGTCAGTGTGTAACGTCAGTGTGTGATGTCACTATGTCAGTGTATGATGTCAGTATGTCAGTATGATGTCAGTATGTCAGTGTGTAATGTCACTACGTCAGTGTGTTATGTCAAAGTCAGTGTGTGATGTCAGTATGTCAGTCATGTGTACTGTTCAGCAGCCATACCCCTCCTCCCCCCCCCACAACTACAACAAACGTAGCTCAGGTTTTAGGGAATGTCACACAACGTTAAAGCTGTATTGATTGGAATTTATTCCCGATGACGTCACAATCACGTGACTCCCTGACGTACTTGACACTCGTGACGTAAGCACTTGTTACCTCACGATGCACGTGCGTCCCAAGCCCCCCCCCCCCCCCCCCACGTGCTCACACGTGCTTGAGCAGCGAAATTAAAGAAACTTTAACACGACCAGAAAAAAAACAACCTCTCATCAAGCTTGTTGTTGAT